TATTGGCACATGTATAATGTGTTCCCAACGGAGCTTTCATGACTCTGACATCATAATCTACTTCATTGTATGGTTGTCAATCTCATTTTGCACACCCTCACCACCATGTCTATTTTCCATGCTTCTTTGCTGCATTCTGTTCCGGTGAAGCTGAACTCTAACAACTGCATGCTGCAGTCTTCCTTGCCCTCTGGCTTCTGGCTGGTTTCAGCCATTGGGAGATATTGGTGGAGATCAGAAAGTGGAAGGAGAAAGTGGATAAGTTATTTCTCAAGCTTCCTCTTTGCTTTGCCATGTCCTGGCAATGGCTAGAATCTCTCCTATGAGATCTTGGCAGCGTCTTACATTCAACAATGAAGCACAAAGTGATCCTTATCCTGTCACACTACACAATGTGGCCTAGAATATAGGTTGCTTGAAAAAGAGCTATTTGCCATGAAATTATTATTAAGAAATCAAAATCTGGATTCTGATAGGGTGTCCTATTGTATCTTTCTACAATTTTCACTGCTAAAAATTATTTGCCAAAAATTATATAAAAAATAATTATGTCTAATATAGCATAATGTGACCTTTCTTTCCCCAGAGAATGTGATAAGAAATTCTTTGTACCTAATCCAGTAATCATTTTCTTTTAGTTTAAGCATAATGCATCTGGTTAACATACTCTAGATATATAAAAAGTGGTGCTTACACATCCACTCACAGTACACTTCTTTTTATAGAACACTTCCAACCACAGTGTTGCTGGCGCTCAAAAGAGGATTTAGCACCTAGACAACTCTTGATATTGTTGTAATGATTCTTAGGATTGTAAAAGGGGGTAATGGGAGAAGATAATTAAATTTTTAATGAGAAAGAATGACAAGATTTTACTTCAGAATGTATTGGAAGTCAATCCTGTGTAATGTCAAGAAGCAGAAGATTTAGTTCAAAAGAAGAGAAGAAAATAAAAACTGAGATTTACAAGCTTGGATGTGAGTGAGGGATCATTATGCAGTTTGTCACAGAAGTGTTATTATCTGTTAGACACACATCATCACAGGTAAAACATTAACTTCAGAATCATGACTGGATTTTCCTCTGGAAAAGGAGGGAAGAATGAAGGAAGAGACAGATGACAATGTGAAATAATATGAGGCTGGAAAAATGTTTGATATAATGAAAATGAGATATAACACGAGGAGGAAGAAATCATTGATGCAAGTCATACATATGACTATGTAAATGTTATAGTCATATTCTGAATGATATATTTACTGCCTAGAGATGTCTTTCTGAGTGAGTATATTGAGGTGGCATGTGTTTTAGAAGAAAATAATAGGGAAGTAAACGCACATCAGGCACAACTCCTGAACACCTCTCATACTGTTGATTTATATAAAACAGAATCTTTTGAAATCTTGAATTATTTCCCCTTAGAGAATTAAATTGTGATTGGACAAGAAAGTTTCAAAATAGAAATGCAGACATTTATATTAGAGAAAGAGAAAGCTAGACCATGAGAACATGAAAAAATAATTTTTGAAATAATAAGTGGATGAAAAGGGTATGATTTGTAGACCATATTGAAAGAAGCAACCCATTCTTAGTAATCAGTAACAAAAGCTCTGTATTTAAATAGCAGTTTTAGGAAGAATATAATTTAAAACTAAAAATTTATTTTAAAATAATAGTAAGGATTTAAAAGTCCATGGTTATCATGAAACAAAAGCTTATGGGATAAACAACAGAACCAACAGAATATAAAGAGAATTCAAGACAACACCTACTCAGGGATTGTGTTAAATATAAGATGTATTCGCATTATTTCTTTAAAGAAATAGAACTAGAAATGGATGCCAAATCCTTGCTATATATTCTTTATTTTTGGTTGAAAATACAAACACACACACACATGCACACACATATCTTTCTGGGGACAGCCTCATTCAGTGACCAAATTGTCTTACTAAGAAGTAAGGAAAGTCAGAAATTTCTTTCATAAATTTTTGAAGAGGCCATACTAAAACTCAGCAACAATCAGATGCGTAAGGGTGGTAGGGAGACTGGAGGTCTATTAAATATCTTTACTGTTATCCATTTTTAGTGGCTTCTCTATCAAAATGGGCACCATTGTCAGAATGTAAATAATCTCAAAAGCTGAAAACCTGACACAGATTATATTAATGGACTAAAACAGTGTGGATGTAATTGGTTGATCAGACTGGAATAGTAACACTATTACCCATAAAAGTGCTGACAGTAGTGAGGCACCATTGATAACTCCAAGAAAGTGTCAAATATCTGACGTAATTAATCTGCCAGGAGTGGGTGAAAGCAATGCCTTGTGCTTTATGGTCTCTTCCATCAGAAAACAGGGTCAACAATGGGAGTCACAAGTCAGGCATGCAGTGGAAGCCTCTGCAATCAGAAACAGAATCCCATACTCCGTGCCAGTCTATGATTGCACTGCATCACAAACCTGATTGAAATCCATGAAGATGGTGAAACTAACTCATCACTTCATGAAGACTGCCAAAGGAAATCTAGGACACCAAAAATAAAATCCTCACCAGCTTAGGGAAACAAATTCAGCATAAATTAGTATCATTTTTTGTCTGAAATCTGAACACCACACTTAATAACATGGATGAATTTCAAAAACACTACACTGAGGAAAAAAATGTATTACACAAAGGGGACATGCTGCATCATCCAAATTCTTGCAAAAGAATGCACAAAACTAATCTATACTAGAGAAACATCAGAACAGTGGTTGGCTCTGGGGAGAAGGTAGGGATCTGGAATGAGCTTGAAGGAATCTACTGGGAAACAGTAATATTCTTCGTCTCGATCAAGGTTTGCTACAGATGTATGGCAAACTCCTTGAAAGGTACACTAAGATTTGTGGATTTCATCATATATAAATTCTGCTTCAAAAGACAAAGTGAATCATAAACAAAAATTGAAATTTAGCTAGTGATATACATGTTGTAGTACTCAGAAGGAATAATGCCGATATCTGGAAATTCTTTTGAAACGCACAAAAAACAAGATGTATTGATGGATGGATAAAAGGACGTAGAGACTGACAGATATGTGATAGAGAAAGTACAATAAAATGCTAATGGTACAATCCAGGTGGTGGGTATACCTATGTTTGCTGTAAAATTCCTTCATCTTTTCTGTTTAGAAATTTTCACAGTATAGTGGAGGGGAGATCTAAATGGCAATGCTTAACTTTATTTCTGTGGTTCCAGTCTCTTCTTCCAATGATAATATTGGCATATACTTCAGGGATATTTGGGTGAAATATGTATAATTATGTGTGATATTTTGTGAGTTTCTACATATAATTCAGTTACATTATTCACTGACTTCCAATCAGGGAGAGCTGTAACATGGCCTGTAACATAAACTGTAACTGTAACATGACAGCACTTCAGATATGACCATTCAACAGTTGGTAACAAAAAAAGAACGAGTGCTACATTGTTATAAATAATCATGTAACTTTTAAAGAATAAAGCTGAAAAGTTTACAAATTCCTACTTATAAAAGATGATATATAATTAACACCACCACATTAAATAAACACAAACTCCTATATATAATAACAGTTTTATTTAGTTTTCTTGAAAATAAAACTTCCCTTTTTCTTCTGTACAGTTTACAGAGAATGCTTACACATTCTTGCCCATTTTGTTATTGCTATCTTTCTGTGTCTACATACTTCCTTGTTTTTTTGCATATTTTTTGTCAAGCCTTGGAAGAGTTTGTAACCCATATTTAATGGTAATCATATTTTATAACAGCAGGAATTAATAAACTTTTGTGGGGGATTATTTTTTAATTTTTTTATTAGTGTCAAAACTCTGAGAATTTTTACTTTTCTAGTGACCCCATAGTCTATAAAGCGTAGTTGGCCACCCTCCCTTCATGTGGGCTTAGAAAAGACCTTATATGCTAAATGTATATTCCTTGAAATAAGGAAGAATATTGGCATCTCAGAAATAAAAACAATTATCTATTGCAAAAACAGAGTGTCTATTTCTCTTGACAACAGTGCCTGAATTTTATAGCAGTTGGGATTTTCAGAATAGTCTTCTCTCTACCCACAAGTTCTTCTCTCTATCCATTCTGTTACCATAAATGTCCTGTATTGACAAATTTGCATGCATATATTAATATTGCAAGTAAACTCTCTTTAGAAAATTCCCATAAAGATACATACCAAAGTAAAGACTTAAACTCTGAAAAATTCCTACTGATCTGCTTTTTTGTTTAAAATGACCATCTGGGAAGGGACACATTTAGAGGAAAAAAGTATTTAACTAGATGTTGTGGAGTGGAAGGAACTAACACTGAATAGAGTGCCTAATTCTTCTGTCATTATCATGTTGTTTCTGGAACAGTAAAATAGGGACATTGATAAAACATAATTTTTTACTCTTTGTATATAATCATAGTACAAGTCTTACGGAACAAACAAAGAAGGTGTTTACTGTATCAATATGTGTAGAAGCCATAGAATCTTATCAAACTAAGAGAAGAGAAAGCGCAGCTTGACATCAATATTGTTTTAATAATTCAAAGCCTTTGATACAATTAAACTGAAATAATTACTAATTATTTATTTTCTATTTTTAAAAGGTCCTATGTAATAGAACAACTTAAGAAAATAAAAATTCAACAATGAAGATTTTAAAGCAAAGCCCTCTGTACCACATTAGCATCTGTGAGTCTGATTAGTTGTCTCAGAGTCACCACATTACAGAGTAAGTTGGACTCTCGGATAGTAATCAAGCTGAAAATTAATTTCCAAAAATTTATAGAACAATTCTATTTCCTGTGTGGTCATACTAATTTCTACTTCTGGTATAACAGTTCTGTGTGTTATTGCCTAACAATATATTTTCACAATTTTGTAGACAAAAAGAGCAATATGTATATATCAGGGACAATAGTGCAACCTTACACAAGACAGCCTGTTTAATATCCAATAAAGTCTAACCTTATCTCACTGTCTAATCCAGAAAATATTTAATGTCTCCTAATGTGCATACACATAAAATATATCCTCCTAAATATTGTCACAGTGTCACTTCATGAAAAGTCATCTAAATCAAAATTTTATTCATTCATCAAAATTTTAGTACACTGTTTAAATGGCATTGCTGTATATTTTTAGAAGATTCTATTTTTATTAAACCAAAGGTATAAATTTACTTATTTTCTCCCTAGAAAAAGAAAGTCAACATTGGCAATGCTATCAAGACATAGGGTTAGATAAAAGTACTTTTCATCTTTCCAGTGAATTTATAGAATAAATAAGAGGATTCTTACAAATGTAGGTTTGTTTAAGTTCGCACTTTTCACCTAAGTAAGTATCTCTTGATTTGTAAGATAGACAGAGCTGTTCTTTTTGAGGTGTAGGAGGAGAAAACCTAAAAGACAAAAAATGTCACAGTCTTCACGGAATTCTATAACATGCAAATACCAAAGAGAAGAAATATAAAACTTTCATTTTAAAAGTTAAATATAAATTTTAAAAACATAATTTATATGTAATTGAACTGAATTTCTATTAGTAGCACAGATAAATAAGATCTTTATAAATTTAAAAGTTATTGATATTATTACAGGACCTTAAATATTAACAAAAATACAACTAGGAATAAGAGTCTAAGAGGATGGAAAGTGTGCTGATTGTCAGGCAGATTAAAAATAAAATAATAAAAGCCCTATGAACAACAGGCCTAAGAAATTTTTCTAGTGGAGAAAAAAACATTTTTAGGCTCCATAGTCTTTACGCTCATAAAAAATAGAATATAAAAAAGCCAGAAGACTTTAAGGATATATCAATGGCCTAGAAGTCAGGTCTTATAGAACGATGTGGTTAGTGAGAAAGTTAGCAGACTTTAAGCCATGATTTGTGTTATGGGTTGAATTGCATCCCCTTAAAACGCGTATGTTGATGTCCTAACCCCTAGTACCTCAAAATGTACTGTATTTGGAGATAGAGTCTTTAAAGAAGTAATTAAGATAAAATGAGGCTATTAGGGTGGGTCTTAATGCAATATGGCTGATGTCCTTTTAAGAAGAGGAAATTTGGGCACAGACACAGGGAGGACCATGTGAAGAAACAGGAAGATGATGGACATCTGCAAGCCAAAGAGAGAGGCCTCAGAAGAAACCAACCCTGACAACACCTTATCTTGGACTTCTACCCTCCAGGACTGTGAGAAAATGAATTTCTGTTGTTTAAGCTACCCAGTCAGTGGTGCTTTGTTATGACAGCCCTAGCAAACTGATACGGAAAGTCTCAGGAGAGAGCTAATGAAGAAACTGAGTTGTGTTACCTGCTTCTGGAATCCATAATGCTGTATACGAGATTGGATTTCAGTTACTGTCTCTTTTCTCAATTCCCCAAATATATTTGAAATTATCCCTCAGCTCTCTTGATTTCTGTTATTTTGGGCAAACGCAGCAATTAAACCAAGGATAGAGAAGGTTTCATTATGTCAGGGAGATGCTTACATATCAGAGGACAGAATCGAATCATTTTCCCATAGCCAGTGCTTGCCAATTCCATTATGGTAGACTCCAATCCAAAAGAAAGATTTTAAAGAGAAGAAATGCTGGTGGTAGGGAAATAGATACAAAGTTTCCATTATTATCTTTTCATCAACTGCGTGGAAGTACCTTAAAAAAAATCAACATCATATTCATGTTTCTTTAGTTCATCCAGTACACAAACTCATTAATGCATGCTATATTCCAAGATGCTAATGATATAGCAATGAACACCACAAATTCCTGCGCTCGTGAGAGGTATAGAAAATAAACAAATAAAAAGTAGTAAAAAGATAGTGTTGGTTTGGGGCATAAGGGAGTGAGCTTTTTAAAAGAATAGCAGTGCCCTCATAGACATCTTGAAGATTAATTTTACCCCCAGTGTCTATCTCCTGTCTCTTCAGGTGTGAGATAGACAAAGTCTTCTCTATCAGGAGAATTTATACAGTGGGTACTTTAACTCGATGCTGATGTACATTGTAGGAGTGAGGGAAAGCTCTCCCATCTTCTCACATAGTGTTCTAGATTCTGATGCACTGATCAATCATGGTAATAGCCTTTAGACCACAAAGCTATAACATCTTAGCATTAGGCTATATCAGGTTCTTTTTTCTCTGACTGAGATTGTCTCTGTAATAACTATCTCCTTCTAAACTCATTATTTATACCATTTTTTACATTAGGGACATTCTAAATATTATTTCAAAAAATTTTTCTTTTTACGTAATGTGTAGATTCCATGCCACATTTTGTGTGTGAAACTTGAAACAAAAGATAAACTAGTTATAGCCTTCAGCCATTTGTCTAGTGCTGAAGTCAAGTAAATGTAAATGACTCTTCAGTTTAATTCAGTTAATCAGCTTCATGTATGTCACATACAATTATGATGCTCAGTTAAAATAAGAACTTACCATCTCCTCCCTGTTTATCTTTATGAGACTGGAATTTAGAGATGAGCAGGCACATTGACTCTCTCTCCATGTTAACCTCTCCTTGGAGAAGTAGTAACAGCCGCATCTGAACCAAACCCAATTCTTTGGACAAGAATGACAACGAGGTCCTAGACAAAGATTCTCCATCATTGAATTGAATAAACTGACAAAGTGTCATTTTGTTTATTGTTTTTTAAAACACACCTTGCAAATGGAAATATACTTTTTGTAATTATGGTAGCATTACGTGAAGAAACAAAAGTGAATTATAACAAAATTATGAATTATAAATAAAAACTTCTGTTTTTATTTTTCTCTCAACTTGCTGCTACATTTTAGATTCTTTATATATCATATAACACAACTCAACCAGGGTCTATTCATCTAAGGAGTAGTTGAGCCACTAGTTTTCTTACCTCCGTACCATTATAGCACTTATCGACTGCAATGTCTTCACCATACATCACCATTAGATTAATTTTTGTTGAAATTTTGCCCTTTTAATACAAACTCTACCTCTCTAAAATGTATGCTTCCAGCAATTATTTCTACTTCCATACAAACCTATGAAATCTTACAAGAATTTCTAAAAAAATAAAGCCTTACCTCTGCCTTCTTATGTTGCAGTTAATTACATAAACTTATGTTTCACAAGACTCTAAGTTATTTAATCGCTGCGACTATGCCTTATATTTTCTACTACACATACCAGAGTACCTTGCCTAGCAAAGGTGCTATGTCTGTGGAGCTGGTACAAATAATACTCTTCTGCTTAAATCAGCGTAAGAAATTAGGTTATAAAACCAGTGCCTACCTTTTTGCTGGATTGTGAGAGATGATTGTTTAGGAGATGCTACAAAAATAATCAAATATCATAATTAGATCTTGCTTTAAATTGAAACATCAAAATGAAATATTAAAAGACTACATTCTATAAGAGCTAATCAGCAACTTTAAAGAAAATAAAAAAGGAAGAATTTTGATGAGATAAAATTGTTCTAAGCCTAGTATCTGCTTAACATAGTCTATAAATAAATAATGTTCCTAAAGGGGAAGACAATTTAACAGACTCAATAGTTACTTACAGTTTGCAGTAAAGACAGCCACTGCAACAGCTATGGCCATCAGGAGAAGGCACGTGATGCCCAGGACCATAGAAATAAGCCTCCATGGGTGAGGTGAGGAATCTCTTGAGAGAACTAAAAACACAAGCAGAATCAAAAACAAAAGGAGTAATTGGAGCAAGATGACAGGACAAATAGTAAATATAATGATTATAGAGCAGTTTACAGTCAAGAATGCATTCAAATACTTGTTAATTCTTGATCCTCACAAGCCAGTGAAATACTTTTACCCAATTTTAGATAATTATGAAATAACTGAGGTAAAAATCTCATTTTTTACATAAGTTATTTGTCTAAGATGACAATCAATTAATAGCAGAATGAAGCCCCCCGAATTCACTAATTCTGTCTCCAAATCCTACTCTATCATCCCTCCCCACTATAAGGAACAAAAGATGAGCTGAGCATAAATCAGAATGGTAATTGATTCATTTAGGTACTGCGCTCTTCCCTACATGAAAACTAAAAGTGGCTGGATTTTAAATTAGGAAGTCAAATAAGTATCATTTGTTTCTTCTTCTTCCTTCTGCCACTCTTCCCTCTCATCCTTAACTGAATGACCATATATGAAGTTTCACAATGTGTCATGCAAGGATGAGAATCAGTAATGGAGACAGAGAAAGAATGAAATGAGGCATTCGCCCTTTGTTGAATGTATAGTCCATCAGTTAGAGACAGTTGGAAGATCAAAAGCAATAAAATGACAGCTTATTTTGTCATTCCAACTTCGGAATATTAAATACCTAAAAAAATAATCTGTGTGGAACACCTTTATTTTTCATGCTAACTTTCTTTCTCCCACTGAATTTTTCCTCAATAATATTAAGGCATTCATCTCAACTTATTTTCTCCTCATTCATCATTATTGGTATGGCTTAACCACCCATCCTAGACCTAAGGGTGAGTCATCTAAATGGCTGTATTGCCATGAAACATTCATTTTCCACCATATCTGCTAGTTAACTGTTACTCAGCTGAATTAAATTCTACCGTCTCTCTTTCTACTTCTGGGTTAAACATGTCTGATGATGGAAGCCAAACAGCCTGATTTTGATTCACATCAAGGTCTCAAACTTCACTTTGATTCTCAGTCACATTTGACAATTATTTTATTATTCTTGACCAATTTCTCCCATTTTCAGCACTGGTATTTTTTTTTTTCAAATAGCCACCACTACTGAGTCATTTCTCCTATGAAAAATGAACGAAGATCAAAAGACAAAGTTTGATGAAGGGAAAATGTCAAAGGCTTAGGTTGCATTTCATTGGTAGACTCTTTGTATTATAATCTCTTTGGGTTTTAATCTATTTGAACTTCCATCAGACCATATATTTCACTTTATTCTCTCTTGTAGCAGAAAACATGGTCCTAAGGTTGTCTCTCATTGAAGCTCTCCCTTGCTTCATAGAACCAACCACAAGCACAGAACAATGTAGAACACAAAACAAAGGAGGCATTGTTCAGGCTACTTGTGCTTAGCCAAACTAGATAGAGATTTATGGCTTAGTATGGTTCTTCCGAGTTATTTAGGACAGAAAATAAAAGCTGCTTTTAGTGACCACTTCAACAGCATACATCACCCATGTGTTCCTAACAGGTACAATAGCAGCTGTGCTAGAACTATGCTTAGGAATTCAAATTCAGAAGTTTGAGAAATGTCCTTTAACTTTGCTACAAGGTAGAAACACAACAACCTTTTCTGTGAGATTCTATTAAAAGAATCTAATAAAAAGACAGGCAGATTATTTTTAGAGTTGGAAAGACTGCTATAAAAATGTTTTCTCAAATTAAATTATATGAATAAATATAATACAGTTTAAGAAATGTAGTGGGAATTGTTCTGGAACTTGACTAAGCAGATCTAGAGTACTTTTGGAAAAGAGGCAAATGAAACAAATCATGATAATTTTGAAATATAATTAAGGATCTCATTCTGTCCATGATTAAAATTAAGTGGTCTTACTAAGAAAGACTGATTTTTAAAGAGATAGATATAACAGAAATAGGTGTGTCTGAAACAGATTTAATACATAATTTTAATACATAAAAAAGTTAGAATATGATAAAAGGTGCAACAACAACAAAAATTACCTCACTGACTCACAAAGAAGAATAAACTGACATCAACAATCCTACAGACCCCAATTACTACTATATATAGTTTCAACTTTTTAAATTTGTTTTTAAGTAAAATTTGAAGTATAGAATACATCCAGAAATGTTCACATATGATAAACGTATAGATCAATAATTTTCACAAAATGAACACATCTATGTAACCATCACCCTAATCATAATATAGAACATTACCAGTGACATCAAAGCTTTCCACAGGGCCCCTCCCAGGACCAAAAGGTAACCACTATCCTTATCTCTATTGCCACCAAATAATTTTGCTCAATTTAAACTTAATATAAATAAAATCAGACAGTATATGGAAGACGTTCATTATGTGGTAATAAATGCAAACTATAAACATAAAGAATATAAAACTACAAGTCCAGAAACATATATAGGTATATGACGAAATGTAGCCTTATGGGTGACTTCCAAAGTGTATAGTTGCCTGTATTTTTAATGTTATCCCTAATGCACATATATTAACTTAATCAACAAGCAATATAAGGACTACTTATAATTTCTTTCTTTAGGAGAAAAATATTCACTTATAATTTTATTATCGATTTCAGACAAACTTACCAAAAAAGTGCTTGTGTTTTTGAAAAAGAAAAAAATCATTCCAAAAAACAAACTCTTTTTGGAATCTCTGGGATTGGTCTCTGTCACTTCAGAAAGCTCACCAGCCTACAGGCAAGCTTTCTTCTCTTTCCCAGAAAATCGTCAGGTTAGGAAAAGACAACCCTGCAGCAATCAGTCTCAAGATTCCAGAAACAAGCAACAACCTGCAACTTTAACTTCACATCATTAAACCTTATTACACCAGGTTTCATTATTATGTTTACTACTACCAAATCCATTTTGTGCTCCAAATTTAAAAGAAATACATTTATGGTTTACTTGTTTCAGGAAATAATTATGTTAGAAGTTATGGCATATTCTGTACGCCACACTCTAGCCCAGAAATCATTCAGTCCAACAATGTTTACTTCTCTCACAATACAGTTCTTGTGTTTCAAAACAAGGTGTCTAAGCCCAGTCCTCTTAAACAGCTGTGGATAGCAACATTTCATTCTTGTTTCAAGGGAATTACTTTCCAAACCTTTTCTATTCAAATTGTACTCTTCCTTTAAAATCTAAGTTAACTTTCACTTTAGCAGTGAAATTTCTAATGTTCCGAGTGATCTTTTAAATTATTTATGATATTTACCAGTTGGTCCTTGTCATAATCTGCATTAAATTGATACTTAAATTTTTGCTTGTATATTTTCTCTAAGTAGATTTAGAAACTGTTATATTTTTGCATTTCACTAGTACATAGAATAGATCAGTACATAATTTTAGGCATTCTGTACATGTTTACTGAAAACTGTATTTTAATATATCTTACCTTGGCCATTGACATCTTCTGCTGTCTTCTTGTGCCATTTTTTATAAGGTTTCTGGTGTCTCAGCTCCTCCTTGGTTAACGGCAATTCATTTGAACTAAATTTATGCTTGATATTATTTTTTGGTGTGTGCTTCTGCTGAGAATCTTTGTATAGTGTAGTATAAATTATAGGTTCCTCATTCATCATTACATAGGGGAAAACTGTGTGGGATAAACAGCTCAAATGTCAGTATATCATTCTATAATTTGGTACATTATATTATAATAAAGAGGGCTGTAATAATTTTAAAAATTTGAGTTGATAAATAGATATGCCTTTTAGCATTCTTGGAAGCATGTTCTTAACAGTTTGAAGCCCCCAATATGAGAAAACATACTATCAAAAACTTAGAAATAAAATAATCCTAAAAGAGCTTTTAGGAACTATTTATCTAATTCTTATACAGAGAGTAATTATTGCCTTTAGTACAAAATTTAAAAATTAATTCTAGGTCTCCAATGGAGTCATCTCCAAAAATTCTAAGGCCATCCCTCTCTAACATTATTGCAGTTTGCCTCTTGAAATTGAATAATAAAAGACAAAGTTGATGTTTTACTACCATAGAAATCAAAGTGTTATGCTTATTAGCAGTGCTCCCCAGGAAGCACTGCACAATTTCTGATTAAAACATAAGGTTAATAATTGCATTTTAGACTTTTCCTAAGTGACTCCATAATTAAAAACTGACTAATGGACAAATGCTTTTTGTATTATTTTATGATTTAAATAAGACCACAATCCATATATGTGCAGAGCCAATTGACTTATTAGATTCTATATATGTTTATATAAGTCCTCTCTATTATTAAAAAGTAAATAACTGGGGCAGGCCCCGTGGTCGAGTGGTTAAAGTTCTGCACACTTAGATCCAGCGGCCTCAAGCTCACAGGTTCAGATGCCAGGCATGGACCTACTCCATCCATCAGCCATGCTGTGGAGGTGTGCAACATACAAAATAGAGGAAGATTGTCACAGATGTTAGCTCAGGGCTAATCTTCCTCAAGCCAAAAAACAAAAAGAGGAAGATTGGCAACAGATGTTAGCTCAGGGTGAATCTTCCTCACCAAAAAAAAAAAAGTAAATAACTAAAATAGATTATCTATCAAGATAGTTAAAATTCAAAAATTTGGAGAATTTTGTTGTAAATATTTCTTAATATGGGCTATTAGCTTCAGAGCTGGGAAAACACTGGTCGGGAAAAAGTCACTCATCTTCCATTTGAATTTCTCAGAAAAGTTTTATTAAGAAAAATGACTAGACATAAGGTAAAAAATTTTTTTAAAACATAGTCAAATAAAGCAAAACTTTGATATCTTGAAGCCAAAAAATATATTATACTTAATTTTTTTATTAATAATATCCACAAACAGAAACAGCACAGAGAAGAAATATCTATTGGTCACATTTTCCAGGAATTGGGGAAGGGAAGATTACAAGGGAACCAGAAATGGTAAAACATACCTGAAGTGAGGAGGGAATTCCTTGTGCTAAGAATTAGTGTGTGTGAGTCTAAGGAAGCAGGACCTGGTAACTTGAAACAGAATGAGAAACTGTGTTCCCCAGTGGAAAAAGTACTTGCTAGGTCATGTTTCAGAAATAACCAACAGGACTTTACACTTTTTTTTTTTTTTATCTGTCCTTAGCACCCACAAGATTATCTCACGGATCTTATGTCTTGTAACTTAGGTTAGCTTAGAAAAAAATATTACACGCATTTCATTTCAAGCCATGCTAAATAACAGACTCTGTGAAACAAAAAGAAAGCTGAGATCAAATCTTCTTTTTCAATTAGCATATTTTCACTAAGATTTTCAAATTGGCTTTTTTGAAGCCATGAATTAAATTAGATTAAGTCATAATGGTAATATAAATATTCACGTTTATACTGAAATTTATATGTGGAGACAGAAAAATCATAGCTATCTTGTTTTCTGAAGTTCTCTTTGGGATGTACATCTGATCGGTTTCATTCTTTTATTCATTAATTTTTATACTAACTGAAATATTAACCCTTCAAATGTGTTAATTCATTAATACACAAAGTGATTAGCACATAATCATCATAAATGTGATGGATAGATAGATAGATAGATAGATAGATAGGTGGATAGATTTACTGGTATAATCCTAGGACACAAGAACACCTAGCATATAGTACATGCTTAATAAATGTCTGTTGACTCATTGAAAGAATAATGAAATAACTTCACAAATATATATTTACTAATGGTGTAAATAGTGGATAGGAAAAATATAGGATTCTATAAAAATACTTAGGAAAAACTGAACTTTCAGGGAGTCAGGGAAGGCTTCCGGAAGAAAGGGATATTTGGGCAGAGTTAGAAATAATAAGCTAAATTAATTAGTTAAGGGAGAATAAGGAGGTGGTTGAGATCCAGTTAGAAAATATATATATATTTACAAATGGAAAGTGAATAGCAACATAATATACTTAAAACTAATAATATCAGTAATGGTATTAAATGTTAATGGTTTAAACAATGCAACTACAAAACAAAGAGTAGACTTCAGTTACCAGCCAAGATAGAATAAAATGGATGAGATTTATACTTCTGTATGAAACAACCAAAAATAATAAAGAAACAGATAAAAGATATTAAACACTGTTTCAGACACTGAACATCTGGCAGCACAGGACAGTGATTCTTGCAAAATGGAAAACAAATTATACGAGCTTATGATTGCCACAGCTAACTGACTTGAGAGTTTCCAAACCACAGCACAGGGAAGGGGAATTCTGGTGAAGCCAAGTGTATACTCTTAGTGAGGATATAGTGCTGAGAGGCTGTAGAGAATAAAGCATTATCAATAGGATATAAAACAGTCCGGAAGAAAAGATTAGTAGGTTGAAATATGGTTCTACACAAAGGAATGAAGAGCACAAAGATTGTAACTACATGGTTATGAGAATTTTACTTTTTAAATCTATTTGAAAATAATTATTCAAATAAAAGTAGTAACAATACAATGTGGAGTTTATAATATATGTAAAAGTAAAATATTTGACAATAGTAGCAAAAGGTTAGGAAGAGAGATACGAAAGCACAGTCTTATAAGGTCTTTATACTACAGATGAAGTGATATCACTAGAAAGTAGACTGTGACAGGTAAAGTTGTCTTCTATAAGGCCTAAAGCAACCTCTAAATTAACAAAGCAAAGAGTAGGCTAATAAGCCCACAAGGAAGATAAAATTGAATCATTAAAAATATTCAATTAATCCAAAGGAAGACTGAAGAAAAAGAAAAGGTGGAGATAGAGGGAATAAAAGATGAGACAAGTAGAAAATAAAGAAAAAAATTGGTAAAATTAAATGTAAGCATATCAATAATTAAACTAAATGTAAATGGCCTAAGTATCCCAATTAAAATCCAACGTTGGGGGCTGCCAGGTGGTGTAGTGGTGAAGTTCGCACGCTCCACTTCAGTGGCCAGGGGTTCACAGGTTCAGATCCCAGGTGTGGACCTATGCAGGACTTATCAAGTCATACTGTGGCAGGTGTCCCACATATAAAATAGGAAGTTAGGCACAGACGTTAGCTCAGGGCCAATCTTCCTCAGCAAAAAAAGGAGGATCAGTAGTGGATGTTAGCTCAGGGCTAATCTTCCTCACGCACACAAAAAAATCCAATATTGACAGATTGTATTTAAAAAAAAAAAAAAGACAACTATATGTCATCTGAAGGAAACACCCTCTAAATATAAAGACACAAATAGGTGAAAACTAAAATGATGGAAAAAATATATACCTATCCTAATCAAAAGAAAGCTGATATGCTATACTGATATCACACAAAGTAAATTTCAGAACAAAGAATATTACCAGAGATAAAGAAGTTGATTTCATGACAATAAAGAGGCTAATTTATTAAGAAAACATAGCAACATACAAGGTTTATGCACATAATAATAGAGTCTTTCTTGAGAAAATCACCTCTACTTGTAAAAGAATGTTTTTGTGAGGTTAAATTTCTTATCCAATAAATCAATAAGCGTGGTTTGGACTCACAGTCTCCACTAAAGTATACGTTTTCAATCTGTTTATTTTCTCTTTTTTGTAGGTAGCTCTATACAGTTAATTTCATGCAACCACCAAATTGCTAAACTGTATGTCCTTTCCATTGAATAAACATAAGAAAATTCTTACATACACTTTTTATTCAAATTCACAATGAGAGGAATGACATTCATACATAATCTTTTAGTATAAAATCTACCAATTTTGGATTTATTCTTGGGCCAAACTGAGCTATCAGAAAGCTGCCTAGCTGTGTTATTTTGAACAAAGTCCTATTTGAATAGAAGTTTAAGATTATTCTTGTAGCTTTGGTTTGGGGAATGAAACAAATGTATAAAACATGTGGCAGGATATGGTGCAAATAATTTACTAGACTTCTAACTTAAAAAAAATCCCTTCAAAGATAATACCTTATGACCCAGCCATCTCCCTACTGGGTATTTATCCAAAGAATTTGAAATCAGCAATTCAAAGAGACACATGCACCCTGATGTTCATTGCAGCATTATTCACAATAGCCAAGATGTAGAGGCAACCTAACTGCCCATTGACTGATGATTAGATAAGGAAGATATGGTATACATATACAATGGAATACTACTCAGCCATAAAAAAGGATAAAATCATCCCATTCACAACAACATGGATGGACCTTGAGGGTATTAAGTTAAGAGAAATAAGCCAGATAGAGAAAGACAATCTCTGTATGACTCCACTCATATGTGGAAGATAAACAAACACGTGAAAAAAGAGAACAGATTACTGGTTAATAGGGGAAAGGGGGGGTGAGCACAAAGGGTGAAGTGGTGCACCTATAATAATATTGTACAACTGAAATTTCACAAGGTTGTAAATTATCATAACCTCAATAAAAAGTAAAATAGAAAAAAAAAACCCAATCCCTTCTAAGAGGTATTCTGCAATTTCAAAACCATGTTCATTGGATGCTGAATTACTATATATTTTTTCTTTCTCCTTTCTCCACCGACTCAGAAGGGGGAATCCACCAAAGCTATGTCCAGTCAAGCAGACCAGACCCAAGTCACAAATCACACTGCTGCACTTCTAACATTGGCTTATTGACTCTTGTGCACAGGCAGCTGAAATATTTTACTCCATACCACCCCACCATATATTTTCAGTGATATGTCTTGGTTTGCTTAAATCAGCTTGCTCTAAAAATTAATTCTGCTTCCTGTAGATGAAGAATCTGCATGTTCATACACTTTGGTAGGATGTTTCTTCTCCTGGAGTCTGCCTTCTTCTCTTCCCTGAATGACTTTTCATCTAGTATCCTTGCTTATTCAAAGCAACTAATAATGCTATACAATCAAGAATTCAAATCTTAGAAAGTAACAGGAGGATGGAAAAACTACTTATAATTTGAGAATCTCATTTCTTTTCATTAAAAGGAATAATAATAAGGTTATCCACTTCAATATGTTACAAAGCAGTAACTTAACTTGATGCAATGGTTAGGAAAATCTTTACTTCCTGTAAGGAACTCATGTTTTCTTTACAGAATTAAGGAGAAATATATAATTAACCAAGCCCTTCCTTTTTGCGTTTGCTAAAGAAGGATTATAAGCAGATGTATGTGGCTCAGTTATAGCAACATATTCTGACCTGTGTTCTCTATTTCTTAATGATCCACATATATGCTAATATATGATTTGCCCTGTCACGACAGTTTTAAAAGAAATCACATTGGTTCATTATGTTATATAGTTTCCCCTAGAATGATGCATAGTATGCATATGCACACATACATATATACTTATAAAATGATTCAGTCAATAAATGTAGTGTAATCTCACAACGTGGAAAAGAGAAATATTAGACTTGAAAATAAAACCCAAGAAAAGAACTTTTTTGTTATTATTAACGATATTCAGAAGCATAACAAAGTTAGGAAAGGTAGCCTTCACTCTTTGAATAGCTCTGTAGCTGCATGCAGAGGCTACATGCGGCTGCATTTAAGTTTTTTAAAAATAATAAAATAAATAAAAACTGTTGATTAGAAGCATTTCATTCATTTAGATTCAAACTTTACACTTCGTTGCCTTTTGCACTATTACTGAGATGGCCAAGTCACATGAATCACTTCCCGTCCCCAAACTGCTTGCCTTCCTTTTAAGAGTGACATGTTAGTGAAGATCTAGCTGGAGAGGCACTATCTATAAACTCAGGTTTAAGGGACCTTAGAGATCCAATTACAAAACTATTGCCACATTAAACAAAACTTTGTTAAGGATGAGGAACAATGAAACATGACACTTGTGACTACCGATCACATGAAGGTCTTCAATGATCCTTTGCGTATAATCAGAAAACACGTGACATTGTGATTTATAATAAGAAATATATATTTGGTCTTTGACCTCATTCCTGGCACATAGCTCCTCAAACTCTTGGAATTTCCTAAGTGAAGAGAGTGTTGGAATGCTCCTAGGTCACCTAAGATGGCCA